ATGAAGGAAACACCTCTAACTCATCCTCCTAAATTCTCTCACCATCTTAACACCCAGCCTGTTCAATCCTTACCAACTCCTCTGCTCCCTGGTGTCATCCTTATGTGTCTTAGGAATTAAAGAAGGTCCAGCCCTCACCCTCACTGAACAGGCAGGTAACAGGTGCTAGGATTCTGTCTCCATTTCTGTACAAAGAGTAGCCAGTGAAACAGCAAATCTGGACTTGGGCAAGCCTCAAGGCTTCTGGCTCAATAAACAGTGTATCCAAGAAACAGCACAGGATTAAACTCTGGTCAGAGCACCAAAAGCCCAGACACTGAGTATGGCCTGCCTCCACCCTGTCCTATGACCCCCACACCCACTCCCAACCTCACCTCATCTCACCCCACCCCAACCCCTGCTTCTCTTTTAGTCCTTACTGCCCTATGTCTTTACTTCTTACCAAACACTTCAGAAAATTGCTGTCAGTCACTGACCCCCTCAGTCTAGTACAGCAGTGAGGGCGGCTATAGTCCCTTATCTCTAACTGTAGAAGAAAAAGATAAAACTATACTCTCTAAACTCATCTGTGGCTCCAGGTCACAGGAGAGGGTGGAATTTTGTTTGTTTTGTTTTGTTTTTTCCTTAAATATGATTTTAATGAAAAATTATTTTAAAAATACTTAAGTGCATACTTAACAAAGCAACTTTTTTTTTCATTTGTTCATATGTGCATACAATGTTTAGGTCATTTCTCCCCCCTACCCCCCACCCCGTCCCTTTCCCCCCAACCTCCTCCCTTCCCCCCCTACCCCCTCGCTTCCAGGCAGAAACTATTCTGCCCTTATCTCTAATTTTGCTGAAGAGAGAGTATAAACAATAATAAGAAGGACCAAGGGTTTTTGCTAATTAAGATAAGGATAGCTATACAGGGAGATTCCTAGCATTGCTTCCATGTACATATGTGTTACATTCTAAGTTGATTCTTCTCGAACTGACCTTTTCTCTAGTTTCTGATCACCTTCTCCTATTGGCCTCTGTTGCTTTAAAGTTCCTTTCACTGAGGACATCAAAAACTATCATGTTTTTTGGGTTTCTTACCTATCCTTATACCTCCCTTGTGTGCTCTCACCTTATCATGTGACTAAAGTCCAGTCACCTTGCTATATTTGCCCTTAACTTAAAGTCTGCATTTGAGGGAAAACATACGATTTTTGGTCTTCTGAGCCTGGCTAACCTCGCTCAGAATGATGTTCTCCAGTTCCATCCATTTACTTGCAAATGATAACATTTCATTCTTCTTCATGGCTGCATAGAATTCCATTGTGTATAGATACCACATTTTCTTGATCCATTCTTCAGTGCTGGGGCATCTTGGCTGTTTCCATAACTTGGCTATTGTGAATAGTGCTGCAGTAAACATGGGTGTGCAGGTGCCTCTGGAGTAACCTGAGTCACGTTCCTTTGGGCATATCCCCAGGAGTGGGATGAGGGCGGAATTTTGTACGATACTTATGATGGGATGTGAGGGGATTCTTCCCTGGGATTCCAAGGACTCCTGGGCATTTTCTCTTTCCCAGGCACCCAGCCCTGACTCGTTCCAATCACCATGTCACCATTCCTCAAATGAATGATCGCAAACCCAAGATGTTAAATAACTTGTTCAGGTCACAGAACTAAGTAATTTCCAAGAAATAGTACTTAGTTCCAGATTGGTTCTACCCTAGAGGCTGAGGCCATAACGTTCCTAAGCAAGAGGAATGGGAAGTAGCAGCAAAGGGCATTAGTATACACATATATGGAAATCTATTAAACTTCATGACTAATTTCAGTGAGGATGCGTGGAAAAATAGAGATGCACTCACACTGAACACACACACGTACACTAAGCTTAATAGAAGTCCTGAGTGTCCCTCCTCTAATGGACATAAAATAAATCCAGCCTACATCCAGTGGCACACACCTGTTGTCCCAGCTACTTGGGAGGATAAAGCTGGAGGATTGCTTAAGCCCAGGAGTTTGGGGCCACCCAAGGCAACAAAGTAAGACCCTGTCTCAAAATAAATAAAATAGAAATTCAGATGCAGCAGATATGTGGATGGGGATGAAGGAGGGAGATCCACAAGTCAAGCTCTCCTAAAGTCATGGTAACTAATAAGGTATTGCCTTGCCTCTTGACTATTTAAGTTACAAAAGGGAGGCAATAACAAGAGGCCTATGTCTAAGCAAAAAGAATTAGTCAAAGCCAGAAAAGGACAATCTTGGAAAACAATGATTTCTTTCCTACTGTTGAAAGTGGATTTTAAAATATCATAGATGCTGATATGTATAGAAAAAAAGAGAAGACCATAAACAAAAATATTAACAGTACTTTTCTTTAATATGGGAATTATGTTATGTTATTTTTTTCTCTTTTGGTCATTTCTGAATTTTCATTTTTATACTAAATATATATTGCTTTTATAATTGCAAATATGTTTCAAAATTAATGATAATAGCTGAGCATGGTGGTACAGGCCTGTAATCCCAGCACTCAGGAGGCTGGGGCATGAGAATCAAGGATCAAGACCAGCCTGGGCTACAAGGTGAGACCCTGTCTCAAAAAAAAAATAGGGGGGATGGGGAAGAGGGAGAGGGCTGGGAGCAGGGGGTAGAAATGACCCAAACAATGTATGCACATATGAATAAATGAATAAAGAAAAAAAATAAGTCTGGAGTGTGACTCAAGCAGTCGAGCACCTGCTTTGCAAGTGCAAAGACCTGAGTTCAAACCCAAGTTGCACAAAAAGAAAAACAGAAGAATCTTTAAAAGTTTAGACTTAAATTCTAAGAATATTGTATGATTCATCCAAAGTCAATGAACAGGGCCTAGGAAAACTGCTAAAGATCCTAGATAGGCCAATAAAGTTATGCTCAGAGAAGGCAAAACATAAGGAAGAGGAAGGCCCATGGCCTGGACAGGAAACTCTATTTTAAGGAATGACAAAGAGAAAGCAGAACTCATTGGCACCTCCCTTGACACACATCTTCACCAAAGAAAACTATCCTGAAGTTGGAAAAGGCAAAATAGGCAAAGAATTTGAAGCCAACATGGTATAGTAGAGAGGTCTTGAATGCAAGTGACATAAACCCAAATCATATCACCTGACAAAGAGGAGAGAGGGGCTTTGTGGGATGAAGGTTGTTAGTCTCACTCTCAGATTCAGAAGAACTGCAGGACACAGGCCTCTGTATAGAAGAGGCCTCAGTGCAGTGAGGACCTTGCCATCTGTCTCTAACAACTACTTTACTCTTTCCTTGGCTTGTCTTCAACTCCTGTTTTCTCTCTCTTGATCTTACTCTTCTCTGCATCTTTCTTTAGGCCTCAGTCTTTAGGGATTCAACCCAGGTAGCAGGGAAGATGGCTACCAGTCCAGCAATGCCAGGAAAGAGAAGATTTCTCTCCCCTAGTTTCTATCAACCAGTCCCAAGAGAGGGCTCTGACCATACTTAAGTTCCCAAAGCTAGAACTAATCACTTTGTCAAGAATTTGCATTTCATAGTTAGCCAGGCCTGAGTCATACCCAGGTACTGGGACCCATATCGCTAAGGCAGGCAAGCAGCCTAGATACTCATATTTAGAGTAGAAGAAACAGAGATGCTAGGTGCTTTGTCTGAGAAGGTCTCCAGGATACTATGCCTTATCTGTGTGTGTGAGAGAAAGAGAGATTGGGGAGGGTGTTCTCACTATGTAGCCAGGCTGACCTAGAACTCCCAATCCTCCTGCCTTGGCTTCCCAAGTGCTAGGTTTAGAGGCATGCACCACCATGCCTGACTATATTTCCTTATCATTTAAGAATAAACATCTAAAGTGTCATCAGATTAACACATAGTAATACTTGATAAAACACAGAAAATAGGACACATATCAAAAGGAGGCACATATCAAAAGGGGAGCAAGTGGTGTTTGGGAAGGTTTTTGTTTTGTTTATGGTGATGGAGTTTGAACTCAGGACCTTGTGCTTGCTAGGCAGACACTCTCCCACTTGAGCCATGCCTCTAGCCCTTTTTGCCTTTTCACAAGTAGTGTTTGAAAGATCCTCTCGAGCATTCCCGACATATAGCCTGAGTCCCCCTGATTTTTCCATGCAAAGCTCTTTTCCTTCTTAGGAAAGCCAACTTCAATTAATGGCAGTCACTGTCT